AAAAAAAAAAACAACTTTCCCTATTCCAAGGTCACTAAGACATTCTCCTATGTCATCTTCTGAATATTTTTAAGCTTCTCACATTTAAATTTGTAATCTATCTAGAATTAAATTTGGTGTATAGTATAAAACTGGAAGTCAAAATCTTTCCTTTTTTCTCATACTATTATTCAGTTGATCCACTGCCATGTATTGAAAAGACTCCCTACCACCTTTCAGTGACATCTTATTATTGTTATGAGGCTCTTTACTCTGTTGTATTGGTCTGTTTTTCTGTCCATGCAAAAACATCATATTGTCACAATATAGCTTGTAATAATCTTGGTGTCCCGTACTCTAAGTCCTCCAACTTAATTCCTCTTCATCAACATTGTCTTGGCTGACTGGGTACAGTGGCTCATGCCTGCAATCGTAATCTAAGAGGCCAAGGCAGGTGGATCACTTGAGCTCAAGAATTCAAGACCAACCTCAGTAAGATCGAGACCCTATCTCTACTAAAAATATAAAAAAACTAATTGCTGTGTTGTGGTGTGCAACTATTATCCTAGCTGGGAAGGCTGAAGCAAAGAGGATCACTTGAGCCCAAGAGTTTGAGGCTGTTGCCAGCTACAGTGATGCCATGACACTCTACCCAGGGCAATGGAGTGAGACTCTATCTAAAAAAAAAAAAAAAAAGTCTTGGCTACTTCCTTATGCATTTGAGAATCAACTATATTCATTTAAAAATATACTAGAGTTCTGAATAAAATAACACTGTTAATATTCATTTAAAAATATACTAGAGTGCTGAATAAACACTGAATCTATAGATCAATTTTGGAGAAATTTGTATGTAATAATACCTTAAAAAAAAAAAACCTTAAAAATATCGAATCTATCCATGAACACTGTCTGTCCTTCCATTTATTGCAGTCTTTAATTTCTCTCCCTCATTTAGAGCTATGGGAAGGTTTGGATTTCTTTCATTGGATTTACTGTATTTTGTGCTTTTTTTTGATACTCTTGTCAATAATTTTTTAAATTTCATTTTTAATTACCTTTTGCTGGTATGAAGAATATAATAAATTTTTATATATTAACCTTGAATTCATCAATCCTACTATATTCATTTATTAATTCTAATAGTTTGTAAATTCTTTGGATTTTTTATATATACAAACAAATCAAGTACTAGTTACTACAGTGGTTTTGCTTCCTTTCATATTTTATTTATTTATTTATTTATTTATTTATTTTTGAGACAGAGCCTCAAGTTGTCACCCTGGGTAGAGTTCCCTGGCATCAGAGCTCACAGCAACCTCTAACTCCTGGGCTCAAGCGATTTTCCTGCCTCCACCTCCCAAGTAGCTGGGACCACAAGCACCCACCACAACACCCAGCTATTTTTGGTTGCAGCTGTCATTGTTGTTTAGCGGGCCCAGCTGGATTCAAACCAGCCAGCTCAGGTGTATGTGGCTGGTGCCTTCGCCGCTTGAGCCACAGGCGCCAAGCCTTATTTATTTTTCTTGCTTTATTGTACTGGCTAAATCTCTATTATAAAGATTTTAAAAAGTATTGATACAGAACATCCTGTCTCATTTGCAACCTCTGAAGGAAAGCTTTTAATATTTTACATTAATTGTTAACTTGCTGTATGTTTCTTCTATACCTTTTTCTCAGATTAAGGATGTTCCCTTGTATTCCTTGTTAAGACAGTTTAAAATTTTTATCATGAATATATAACTGAATTTTATTAAATTCCTTTCCTGGATTATTTAAGATAATTATGAGTTTCTTCTCTGATGATGTGGCAAGTTACACGGATTTATAAATGTTTAACCAACCCTGAACTCCTAGAATAATTATAAACTCCTTACTCATTTAATTAGGTCAAGCCGCTCTATATGAAGTTAGAAGATAACAGTAGCAAAAATATCCTTTAAAACCAACCCAATATCAATATTGTAATCAGAAAACACATAAAGCATTAATTTCCAAAATAAGTTATTTATGCTAGTAAGTATAATGTAAGATCTGTAAGCAGGATGGAGCTGATCACAAACAGCAATACAGGGTCGAAATGTAAATTTGCTAGCTTGGGTGTCTAACCTGTGGCCCGCTGGTGCATGTTGATTTCCTGAGGACTTTTTTTGCTTATCTGTGGTGTTAGATATCACAAAAAGCATGTGGACTTTTTTTTTCTTTTTGATTAGCTTTTCTTAGTGTTTGTGTATTTAATATGTGACCCAAGATAATTCTTATGCTTCCAATGTGTGGCAGAGGAAAAAAAAAAGGTTAGACACCCCTGAATTATGTCATGAAACACACTATTTAGTGCAAATAACATTCTTACACAGCAAAATTCTCTCAGTAAAAGACATATATAATGTACTGATTTACATTCTGGCCCTAGCATTTTACCTCCATGTGCACCTGTCATTTAAGTAGCAGAGTTTGTACCACAGAATTAACTGCTGCTAGGCCTGTATCTTTGAAACAAAGAAAAATAACAAAAACTTAAAGCCTTATTAGTTATTTCTCATATCATAGACGGTTCAAATCATATTATGAACATCCTGTAACCTGTTACATCCTGTAACATCCTATAATAAGTATTTTAATGCAACACAATTTCACAAACTCTATGAAATAGATTCCCATTATTAGTGTTTAGTAAATGTATTATACATACATTACTTCTACAAACTTAATCTACTTTCAACAGCCCAATCAATGAAACAAAAAAACTGACCGGACAGCAGCAACTCTAATTTCTTATATGCTCCCAGGGTTTCAAACTTGTAATACGCAAATCCTCACTAGGGTGCTTATCCATTCAATCTCTTTATTTCTCCTTAAGGCATTAAGTAATGACAATAATGACTCTGACATCAAAATTCAGCCACAGAAATAAGTATGAACTTGGCATCAAAGTGACTAGTCTCAAAATCACCAAC